TAAGTAGGCAGTCTTTGTGTTAGAGAGTATGACTCTAAGTTTGCCAAGAGTCTCGTTCCAGCTGATATGATGGTCAGGAAATGGTACCGAATGAGTGGCAGAAGTGTAGAATTAAGATGATGGCTTCAAATCGTCTCGAACTTGTGGGAACAAATGTTAAGTGTTCACACCAGTGGAAACAATCAAAGTGGGTGAAAATAAATGTTTTACTGGGGACAGAACTTCAAAGTTTGAAGTCATAGAGTGAAACAGCACAGAAACAATCCCTTCGGTCCAACTCATCCATACTTCCCATGTTTCCCAAAACTAAAATACTCTCACTTGTTTGCATTTGGCCCATATCCCTCTAAACCTTTCCTATTCATACTCCTGTCCAAATGTCTTTTAAGTGTTGTAACTGTACCTGCATCTACCACTTCCTCTGGCAGTTTATTCCATACACAAAACACTCTCTGAGTGAAAAAGTTGACCCTCAGGTCCCTTTTAAATCTTTCTCCTCTCACTTTAAAAATATGCCCCCTTGTTTTGAACTCCCCCACCCTAGGGAAAAGATCTTTGCTATTCACCTTTTCTATGCACATCATGAAAAGTGATTGTGCATATTGGCAAACTCTGTAAATATTGCTAACATTTTATGAGATGTTTCTGACATGTCATTAAAATCTTCATCCAGAATACCATATTGAAAATATTTTAAAATGGAAACATAGAAAATTGCAAATGCCAATGATTATCACCCATTTATCATCCAGCTACTGAGTTGAATAGCAGAGTAGGTGCAACTTGTTTGGTTAAGGCCAATTCTTGCAAGGTCAACTCGTATTAATGAGTTGTAAATTTAGGATACTTACACACACATCAGTTATCTATCATCCCAGGCATGTACAGAACCTGAGTAGAATTAAACATCTCACAGTGATGACATGACAACTGTAGCAAGCAACCTGACATAAGCTGTCAAAGTGGCAGATTATCCCAGAGCACAGTCAGGGACTACACAAGCATATGATCAACAAAATTCTTTACCCAGGTCAGAGAAGCAAATTGTCTGTTTAAATGAAATAACCAAATCAAAAGAGTATTAAATCAGACCTCAAATTAAAATATTTTTAAATGAACAAAAAAGAACATTTGATAGTGATGAAATTTAAAGTTAAAAATCTACACTGACCCTCCAGTTTTATAATTTTGGTTAAAAAAATAGACTATTTTCTGGTGGACATTGTATGAGGCATTAGCATTTTGTTCGAAGAGATACCTCAGCCAAAGTTAAAAGTCAAAACGACACAAGCTTTTGGACTGGTCTGTTCCAATACTAGAAGATGGTTTTGCATTCACGGTTATTAGTTACAGAAAACCATCAATGTCGACCTGTTATGGGTCAATGTCAACACGAAGGAACAGCTGCACCACAGAAAAGGTGATGTGCCAAAAAAAGGAAGTGGATCGTCAGCGTATCTAAGGTCAGAACCTCTTACAAAATACTCGTCATTTGTGGTGCTTTTCAGACACAAGCTCATTTGAAAACATTGGGAAGTAAGAATTATTTCTCTCCAAGATGGTTCCAGGATAATAACATAATAGATTAATTAAAGATGGAGTTTGGAAGCTGCCAAATTGATTGTTTAGTTGAATAAATCATGATGACTGTCATCTCTCCAGGTTTGCTACCTGTGAGAGACAAGTTAACCTGAAATGGGTAATATATAGATGGTGCCTAATGATAAAAAGCACGAGAATATGTGCACCCTCTTTATGAGCTGACTCCACTGCACTATGTAATAGCTTATTCTTGGCAAACTCCATTTAATCCTCACGAGACTGTAATTGAGACACTTGATTGCCTTAATCCACCCAACAAAAATTCACAGCAAGCCCAAGGCATAAAGTTGCTAATATTGACATTTACATCCACTGATGGCCAAAATACCCAGATTCTGTCACCCTGTTATTAAACATATTATCATTTGTCCATGGCAGACCTTAACTTTTTTTCTGCATGTTGGTGTCTAAATGTAAACAACTCTATTCATAACCTGTCTCTATATATTTATGAATACCATGTGCCCTAAATTTGTCTTGACCAACTTTAATCTGAAAAATCCTACACCTGATGAAGGAACAGTGCTCCAAAAGCTTGCGATTTCAAATAAACCTTTTGGACTATAACCTGGTCTCGTGTGACTTCTGACTTTGTCCACCCCAGTCCAACACCAGCACCTCCACATCACGAAAAATTCTTGTTTACAAAAATGCCACAGACTTGAACATGTACCATGACTCTACAATTATGTTCGATGTAGATCAGAACGTTGTCACCTTATAGGTACCAACCATCAGGAAAGATAGATTTTCAGATTACAAGATTAACTTGTTAAAAAAAATGACTGCCACATACTGGTTCTTGAAATTTAAAACACAGATACATCCGTACAAGCAGTATTACTGAGAAAGGTCCTCATTAGCTCATTTATCTCCGTCCTTTCATCACATTCCACACCATTCATGGTATTAGGGCAACTATGTTGTAGCCATCCTTGATCTTTCACAGGACAACCCTGTGAACTACAGGTAGAACCCTGTGCATTATGGTACTACAGTTGATTCCATGGATGGTAGATGCTGTAACTTCATCTTGTACTGATTAGTTCTCAAAGTCTGTACGTGTAGCTCTAAACTGTCTTGTAAGTGTACATGAAGCATGCCTTGTAAATATGCAAAAGAGCCCCTATAGTTTATTAGTTTCCCTCATAACACATTGAAGTATTATAATTTTTTCGATCACATGGCATTTCCATTTCACTTATTGCTCCAATATAGAACTAAGCACTGCTAATCTTATGAACCTTTTATATAATTGAACAATCTAGTTAAATTTTAGCTCTCAGTAATTAACAGTACAGAGGTCTGTCAGGCACTTGATTGAAGTCATGTGCCTTCTCAGAACAGTTTGCTATTCCAAGTGATTTTCTGACTCATTTAAAAAAATGACGTACCTTCAAAGAACTGACCCACATCTATCTGCCTCTATTTTAATACCTCAATCTTAAAATATAATAATACTATCTACACTTCATCGCAGAGATTAATTATCGATGTGACTAGCGATAGAGATGGAATGGTAACACTATAGTTTTCAAAATCATTCAGTAAGTCCAAAATTACAAGACCATCAAGTTTATCAAGTGCCTTTAATAGAATTCGATTAAGGATGAATAGCACATTGCTGTGAAATCTGCAAATATTGTGCATATGGGATTTATTTGTATACAGTAGCACTTTACAGAGAAATGATAAAATAGCACAAGTGAAGCATTAGATTAAGCTACACAATTTCTAAGCAATCAAATTGAACTTGAGGATTCATTATAGTACACATGGGGGTAATTTTATGGAGACATCATTGGTCTTGTTTGCCAATTAGAGAGCTGGCAAGAGACTTGCATTGTCTCTTCTGGACATGCCATCAGCATAAGTGGTCACTTACAGGTATTCCTTGGAATTAAGGATGGAAATGCTGCCCAACAGGAGTTGCTGGCCAAACAGAGGCCAGGAACCCTTCAACTCACTGGCTTCACCAGGGAGATGGTAGCTGCTGTGGGAATGACACCCGCTCAAGGCTGAGGATCGGGAAGTGGCTCCGGACTGAGCTAAGTCATGGAGGGAGGGAGTTTGTAGGACTGAGCTTGTAGGGGAGTGGAATCAGGAAAAACAGCAAGGGAGTTACTCTGTGGAGGCCACCAGCCTTCCTGATGCTGGGTTCCCAATCAGGCACTGAGTACCTTTGCACAAGGGAACACTCCCCCACTGTCCCCAACTTCACCCGCACCCACTTCCAGCAGATGATAATCAACTAACACCAGTTTATTTGTCATAGTCCCTATATAACACAGACCTGCCTCCAGCTGGCTATACTAGCAGCAGTGAGATCAGGCCCTTCAGTGCTGGTTAATGAGTCATTTACAGACAACACTGGCTGGTGGGATGGAATATTCAACCATGGGCCTTTCCACCTCCAAACTAATTTTAACAGAGGCAGGAAAGACAGCAGGGAGCTTATACACCATCTTCCTCCATGAATAAATGCCCTCTGTGCTTCCAAACACACCACAACAGTGGCCATAAATCTGTCAGCACAAATTTTCAGGCCAAAAGCCCTAATTATTTCTTCGAAAAAGTTTTAGGACCATACTTGTTTGTGCTTTAGGCTTGCACTTACCTGGATTTAGATTGAACTAACTGCCCAGTGATTCCTTACACTGAGCATAAACAGATATGTAGCCCATTAGTCTGGGCTGGAATTGAATTCATATTCCAGAGGTAAAAAGTCTATGTTATGACGATCCTTCAGCTTAATTTCCACATACTTCATGATTCCAAAATGCTAAAGAACTGCAGATGATGGAAATCAGAAACAAAAACAGAAATTGCAAGAAAAATCCAGCAGGTCAGGCAGCAAATCAGAACTGAAGAAGGATCTCCC